TCCGGGCAAACCTGAGAAGACGGTTAGATCGAAGATCGCAATCCGCCTTTTGCTAATGTGAACGTGTTGATTGCTGTATGGTGATGAATTTGTATGAATGAGCGCGACTGCACTATCTCCTCAGGAAAGCAAAATTGCTCAACGAAACGTATGTTTTTCTGAATGTGGACGTTCCGCTTTGTCGGATGGTGTAAAGAAACGCATGTGTTCGTGGGCATACCTTAGAATACGGTGATCCTGAAGATGGCAACTTAGATATTGCTATGGTAACATATAGATTGATGTATAGCGATCAATGTGTAATATGAGTATAATGGCCATGCACGTATGTCGCGTATATGCTCTATTGCGATTCACCAACGAGGGAATGGGTTTACATAAGAGTAATGTAAGCCAAACGGTTTATTATTCAGGATCCACAGGTGAAGCAATCGAACTTCGTGTTTTCACATACATTTTAGATTTCCTTTGAAGTGCATTAACTAATGAAGGAACTACTACACGAGTTCACTCAAAAAAGTGTAATACTCTCTCCGGGAAGGCCATAAATTATGCCAGAATCATAATAGTAACCGTAAATGCTTTATTTTACTTCAATTAAAATACAACGTAACCAAATAAATAATATCAAACAAACACTCACAACATCACATACACGCAATTGAGTACAGCTTATGTGATAAGTCACTTTGCAATTTAGATCAATGGTGTTTTTGTGATTTACTTTCATTCACATAAACATCAGGCTGACCGAATCTCGGTTAATCCATACCTATGAAATAAAAATGTCAATATTCAACTATTAATGAATGAAAAACAGCGCAGATTAATTGGACATTTTTTGGAGTTGCTTCATGAATTCGTATCGATCGTGATCACCTAATAAACTCATCATTTGAGCAGCACGTTCGGCAAGTTGCCGATTGACCCGCTGCTGTAAACGATTCATGAACAGCTGCACATCCGTCGGTTCCATACGACTGAAACTTGATTCGAGTTCGTTTACTATTGTTGAGTCCATACATTTCGGACCGTCCAATGCAAAAACACTGAAAGTATTATGAATTTTTTGAATAGTTCATTACCAGCGACAGCAACATGAATGGATGATCACCTGTCAAGAACCGAATTAGATCAGGACTGAATATTACTGTACAGACAAGGTCTGAACATAAAGCTGAGACTGAACATTAGTCTGAGCCCAAATGTCAACCTAAGGCAAACCCTAAGCTCAGCCTAATTCAGTTCACATTTTTGAGTGCTCAACATTTTTACGTTAACTCTCATGAATGAACAACATTCCAACAAAGTTGTTATCGCAGACTGCTCAAGAAGAGGTCACGATAACACCTGTTTGTAATTAAATTTGTGGTAAACATCGTTTGAACTCTGAAAATTTGTCGAAATTATTTTACGTTGAAGGTGGTATTATTTACTGAGATGCAATCTCAATTAGTTATCTCGCTCTTTTCTGCTCTCAGGAAAGCTTATTGCTGACAACTAACAACTGACAAACTGGAAGGAACATTTTTCTTTTTTTTGTTTTTATGTTTTTTCATGTCTTTATGTTTAACGAAATCCTTATGTTTAACAACTCGTGCCTAATTCAAGTTTTTCGATGAATAGTTTGTTTGGAAGTGAAGAAAAAAATGGATGACCAGACAGACCTTTGGTCAGCTTGAAGTGATGGAGGATCGACAACACCTTCAGACGGTGATATAAAAGCAGTAGCAGAGACAGATCGATTGATTAGTTGATTTGGATCGTTAGGTGAATCTTGTGATTGATTATGGATGGACGATGAGGATTGCGATGTTGGCTCATGATTGATTGCTGAATAGTCGTCCTGATCGAACAGTAACATCTTGATGTGTTGGTTCACCACCGAATCTGCACTTGAAGATGCACCAGCACAATCGCGTAATCCCTCCCTCAATCGCTCGTTCAATCCTGCTGCTGAATACGATCCGTCTTCATTCACCAATGCGATCGCATTTGCTGTCGCAGTTGCTCGCACGTTCAAATGATCCAAATTGAAACCCTTAAATGCACGCTTTTGATTCTTCTCATTACCTCTTTATTTATTTCCCACTCCGTAATGAATGCACGCCTATTTGGATGTTGGTTGACCAGACTGCATTCATTTATTTGCCTTCATACGGAATACCATTTTACTGGTTTCTACAATGCTCATTTCTCTTTAATGATGTCGTTAGTCGTCTCATTTCTCATTCTTCCTACCCAGCCCGATCACTTTCATCCTTACCAACTATGACCTCTTAGTAGAACAACTGAAATTAATTCACAGGCGCCAGAAAACCGAAAACTGAATTGCGCAGAAATGAAGCAGTGATTAATTAGATCGAATGATTTAAATGATTAATGATTTAAACAAATTCCTGAACATTGAAGTATTAATAACCTCAAAAATATTTGACTCATTGTCCAACTGATTCGCTTCACCGACAATCTCACAGTCTTCGTCTGATTCGTTGAATTCGTCATCACCTTCGAATGATTCCAGCATTAACTTGTGTACATCGTCAACGATATAACACATACATGATCATTGATAATTGATGTAATCACTGATAATTAAGCTATCACATTTTATCAGATCATACCACTGTTAACTTAAACATCATATTATTATGCCTTTAATATGGTTCACATCATAAACTACTGTATATACGGTGCTGGTAGTATTGTATTCGAGCATACAGATAATACACTGCAGTTGTCAGGTATTCTTTGTTTCATATTGCATATCAAATTATGACAAATCGGAACAAAAGCTCTTCCGACCTCAACAGATATGTTAAGAACGTTCGTATTACCAGATTCAACCAATAGAAACTCACATTGCTGTAAGAATTTACTGGCTCTTTGAAGGAACCATGTAGCCGCAGGCATGCTGCCCTTCCAGTTCTCCTCGTGCCTCGTCTCATCGATCACCTTCCAAACTTCACGCATCAAATCATCTTTCAGCGAGAACGTCTCAAAGATGTGAACCAACTTGGCTCGTTTTTTACGATAAATGAATTTTGCACGTATGATACGTTGTCGTTGGCGTGCTGCTTCGGCCAGTTTACGAGTGATCTCGATTGTGAGCGATGCGTCCGAGCGCAGAGCTTTCGGCACCAATGAGATGATGTCCAGTGACGATATCGCTTCCGGATATGAGGCTGTCAATCCCAAACTTTGGATACATCGTTTACGATATCCAGTCTGCAGATGACTCTTCTTCTCACTGCTGAATACTTCTTTGTAGGCGGCTCGTATGGCCTCTGAAAACATCACACTGTGTGTTAGTGGCGGTAGTGGGTGGGTGCTTTCCACATGCGGGATTGGGATTAGATTTCCTTCGGAGCTGAACGAATGATTTGTATTTGAATTTAGAATTACCACCTTCTGAGACTACAGACACCAGCAGCATGAGCACATTAATGCAGACCTGGCTTTGGGGGAATCTTTTACTATCAAAATGAAATGATATTCGCTGAAGGTCTCCTTCCTATTGTGAAGAAAGAATATTCAAAAGATGGCACAGAAAAGTAAAAGAAACGTCTTGAGACGAAGCATCAAGAAGTGTACGAATATCAACACTCCATCAGTATCTCTCAAAAACTTCACTTCAGCCAGGTGAACGAAACATCAAGAGGTGATAGTTAATGGAACGCATCGAATTTAGCTTTATTTCTGCTTACGCAAATTGTTATATCTCTCGTTGCAAGCAGATTTTATATGCTGCCATTGATACACTGGCCAAACAACGTTTGAGGAGTACAAGCAATGCACACAGCCTATGCACACACATGTTATATTGTGAGCTGAGAACAGCGAACATTTTATAAACTGCATAAGCACAACGATATTTAGGACATATCAACCTACCCATTGTAATCTAGGAATATTATCAATCGTAAGAAAATGTTTTTTTCAGTGACGAACAGGTTAAACTGTGATGATCATTTACGAACGAACGCATTTGAATTACCTGGAGATTCGGTAATTTGCACTGCTGCTTCTTCAGGTTTTTTAGTCTTTATCTGTGGTTTCGAACGTTTCGATGAATCCGCTTGATGAGGATCGTAACTAGAGCGTTTCATCTTTATTTGCTCTTCTCAGACAGCACTTCTTCAATCTTCAATAATGTTTCCATCTCCATCAGAACTCGAGAATTTTTTAAAAATCGCAGTTCAACGTTCAGATTCGAATTACGACGACATTCAACAGTCAACCTTCGCAACATGGAAATTGAATTTTTTTAGTTAGAGGCTAGGGAAAATTTTGAAAGTGCTGTGGAAATTAAATGTTATACGGAAAATACATTATTATCTGTTCGCAAATGCTATCGTCTAAAAAAAACTGGTCATTCACCTCAAATCTAAATGAACTGATGATTTCATCAAATTTCTCTAAACGACTCCAAGCCAACTAGGTGACAAGCTGAATAGGCTATTGCAAAACAATAACACATCATTGTACAAGACCAACTCTACAAAAAATCAAAGTTGAGTTCATTCACTGAAACACAACACGACTACTCTTCGCTGGGCGAATCACCGTCGTATTGTAAAATTTACACATCAATTTTATCACACAATTTCGATTTCTCGCATTATAATTGTCAAGTGGTTGTCTTTAGAGGTGAAACGTCAAAATTTTCAATTTTGTTACTGTTAATGAAATTCTCCAACTGATTTAAGGAAGTGAGTACATAGCAAAATGAAGACTGATTTTGTTCATCATAGGGCAAGATGACAAGTATCCTTTGAATGGAAAGGCCATAGGTGACTGCTGCGACTCGAAAATCTTTCCTCTCTCGTGCATGGATGTACTCTCCTCTTGGTGATCTATGCGTTGCAGTTGTAAGCTTTGTTTGTGATGATAACGCAGAATGGGAAACGAGATTCCCACAAGGGCTATCTTGCTTTCCTTGTGGACAAATACAACAGTGAGAAGGCAACAATTCATAATTCCTTCCTCTCTCCAACCCTTTTGGTTCAATCTTCTTGCAGAGAATGTCATTGAACAAGTAATTTACTGTAATTCTCTATCCCGCTAATAAAGAACGGATGTCGATGAAAAACTCTCGGTCTTTAAGTTCACAACGCCTTCAGTCTCTTATCAAAATTCCCCAGTTCCTCACTTCCATACTTATTTACATCGCTCGACCCATTGATATTTAACCAAATATTTTGAAGGAGAGCAGTTGTGAACGAACAGCAGAAATACTTGGACTTGAAGAAGGTGCGATATCATAAAAATTTGGGCTTCGATCACTTTGGTGGTTCGAAGACCGTAGGAGAAAACTGAGATGAACAGAATGGAATTTAATTTCAATGTCAAGTTGAAACTGAAGCTCATTCAGGCTCTAAAACTTTTGCATTTTGAGTGAACGTGAATGATGATAGAACATCTCTTCAACATCTGATTTTCCATAGGTTATCAAAATCGAAACGTTCTACAGATGACGATCACTTCTGACCACAAGCTTTAGAACGGTGCGCTTTCAATTCAGACGCATTTGATCATATCAGCATCGATGTTTCGGCGTGTGTGACGCCGTCATATTTGCTGATCTGATCGCAAATTACGAATGATACAAGCGTGGTACTGCTCTTCAATTCATACACTTTGGAGACGCACATTTGCATAATACCATTCGTACAAGCAAATCATATCATACCATTCATACGCAAAGCACACAATAGATGAAAAATTGAAGTTATTGCAGAATTGCAGACCGTGGAAAAACGTTATAATTTGGTAAATTGGTCGCTGATCATCCCTCAAAACCTTCAAACCATTTGATTACTTGCCTCTTGAGATGTTCAAGTGAAAACATATGGAATAAGATTGAGTAATGTAGAGAACGGATAGATCTAGTTGGATGATGACGATTGAGTGGTGTCTGCTGATGATGGTTCGCTAGTATGAGTGGTCTGGGTCTATAGCACGGTTTCTGACAGCATATAATAGTGGTATATGGTTGGTTGTTGTGTTGATCGGTATTAAATGCGATGTGCTGTTGGTGTACACACCATCCACCCATCTAAATATTAACAGCAGTCAGTACCTAACGAACATTGCTCATCTTGTATTGGTTATATGCTATAATATTTCTCATGATGGTTTAATTTCTTGAACGTCCCTCTCATCTCATACCAATCCTGGTGGATAACACTATTCATTTGGATACTTTCAACGTCTGTCAATCTATTCAACCATTGCCAACGGTAATCAATGGTTGCTGGTGCGATGCGATGCGATGCGATGGTGTTGTGGTCGCCGCATATCATTTGGATTGTATAACAAATACCTTGTGATATGTAGTAGTAGTCAGTAGTCATAAATTGAGCAAAGCAATGCACATCAAACACCTAAGAAATTAGCTTCGCTATTGTTATCACACAGCCCATTATTAAACAAACATTATTAACGTAATCATCTATTTATGTTAGATATGGTGTTGGCTTTATTACAGTTTATCAGTCGAATTACGAACAGGCGATTATGTTCACATACACATACACTTCATATAATCACAATCACTTTCGATTTTTTCGGTGCTAACACAGTGTCCGAACAATAATTTTCGTTTCTGTTGCCAAACAACAATGGAAATCACTATCTTTTGAAGATAAGAATTCACGCAGACGCAGAAATGAGGGTATTTACGTGAACTGAAACTTAGCTTGGCGTGATCAGTGTGCACTGATGTGACTAAAAGCGGTAAGTGGATGGCAAATAATATTTTGCCCAGTTCGAATTGCAGTTATATGAACCGCTCAATCAAAAAGCCTTTATGCCCTATTGTAGAGCTATTTCGGAATACTTACTTCTCTCAGGTTTGGTCACAAGCTAACAAAAGCAGATATCGGAGTGATTGAAAAAGTGTAATGGCGATTCACTGAACTAAACTTTTACATGACCTTCTCAGTTCTTGTACGATCAAATGATTAAAATATACAACTTGCAACATATTTGTTTTTATTTATGCTTCTGCACAGTTCACAATTTTCTTGGTATTCCTTTCAGTTGCATCGTTTCAGTGACAAATTTTGCCTCCCTTTCAAAGTGTTATCCATTACAACTTCAAAATAAACAATCAGATAAAAATTCCGAACTCAGTTCCTTTCCATAACAACTTAACACACGAAGTTCCAGCGGGTCAGTGCTCGTTTCAAAAACCGATTAAACAGTTATGATGATCTTAGTTAAATCTACATAGTTTACTTTTTAAAAATATTATCGTATTTGGTTTTATTTTCGTGTTCATAATGATAATATTTCTTCCGATGTTGAATGTTTCAGAAGCATTGTGAATATTAACGTTAGTTTGTATCCAAGTGAGTGATTGTAAATAAAGTTTTGAGTTTCGAAACGCATGATTAGCAAATATATCTAGTCACTGCATAACAACTGGGTAAATTAGAAATCAAAAGACTTCTCTGATTTTTTCTATTTGCTTTGAAATCCATCAAAACAGTTGTGCTCTCGTATTCCCAAGCAATGCATATTTATGGCATTACTGTGAAAACAGTAGACGTATAGATTCTTGAAGAATTTTACAAACAACAATCTGAATCACATCAACATCATTAGTAATCAAGTAAGTTACACAAAATTCATTCAACAGAAGCACTTACTGCTTTGATTAAAAGAAGGTTATATGCATAAAATCAATGACAGATACTTCGGTTAACCATCAGAAACGATTGTAAATCACAGAAAACAATAAATGCATCATCATTCTATTACTGAGTATCACAGAAATGGACAGATTCAAAGGTTTAGTAAACGTAAACATTGTGGATAAGTGAACTGTATAATGAAAGTGTAAAGTGAAAGTATAAAAGGTATATAAATAAAGTATATAAATACTGTACAAAAATGACCTGTATAATGAACCACTGAAGAGAGACGGCATCAATATCAAACAATAAACACAAAACACAAAAGCAACACTGGTAAAAAGAAACCAATTCGAGAGTCTTGTTAGCAATAAGATCCGTTCGATGAGGATAGTTCAACAAAATAATTCAATTAACAGAATTAATGTAACTCGCGGATGTATCCGCCGATTCAACCGCCACTGAATAAATGAATATTGAGAAGGAAAAATTCAGAATTTGGATCGCGACAAATGCACACATCAAAAATTCCACTTCGCATTATGTTGAACGCTTTTTGTAGTTCAGCAACAGTCTGAGAGATGGATATCCGAGGAGAAATGTTTGTGCATACCACTTTCCAATGCAAGTCGGTGACAGATCGGAACGTTGCGCAAGTCGTTTCGCATAGAGTGCCTCACCCATATGTGCCATAAACATTAACACATTCAATATGAGCATCACTCTCGGATGATTTGTTCCCAGGTAATGCGCTAAAACACCTACGTAACTCATATATTTCAACGGAAGCCAGTCAACATTATACCAAGTCACCTGAAAAAAAAAACAATCTTGCGGGAATATAGAGACAACGTGACACTGTGAAATCTTCATTGAGCTTATCAGTATCAGAAAACGTGCAATGAAATTGCCAGTAAACGCATCTTGCGTTACATCCGATTGATTGCCACTTCCGTACTGACGTAAATCAAAAGCAAAGTGTCATAAATTCTTTAAAAGACACCATCAATAAGTAAACGGGTAAAATTATATCAATCATCAAGAAAACTGTGATTTGTGTGAAGATATGTGTTCACAAGAAATCAAATAACAGTCAACGTTAGAATCAGACGATAAACAACAAACGAAACTTCAAGAGCTTGTTGGGAATGTACAAATACTGCAGTATTTTCAGACTTGGCAAGATGTTCGCTTAATTTGAAGCAGATCTGATTCTACTTCTAAGCAAGATGGATACAAATGACAGTTCTATCTCTAGAATTGAAACAAACAACCATAAAATAGCAAAATAAAAACTTACAAAATTGAGTAACATTCCAGCCGGTATGATGATAAACCATACGATATGAGGAGAACGAAAGTAATTATCCATCGTTAACTGGATATTCGAGACAGACCGAAATTGACGGATTTTTTTTTGTAAACCTGAAAAATAGTCGTCAAAAAATGACAACGAAGAGCTCACGTATGGGGATGTAATTTCGATGCTATGGAATGGAAAGAATGATTTCCATCGAGCTAGATTCGGTTGTGGGGCCCAATTCTTATCGAAATAATTACAGAACGAAAATACTAGCAAAAACCTGCTAACAAGCAAAATAATAACACATAACTGGAAAATGTAATGAACATTTTTGATGTACACTTAGTACATCATTAGACACATTGATATTGCCTCAGTTTCGCATAATCGCTGACGATTCGACAAGAAGTGATACAATCAATGATTCATAAACACTACACAGTCTGGAAATAGCTTAAGAGGTATTCAAAAAAAACCTTAAAATAAATGAAGAAAGGAACAAACACTGCGAAGTTGGCTCGGTATCAGAATTGGCAACTTCACACTGCACAACAAATTGACTCCTTTTCAAAAGCGGGAATTTCAAATTTTCTAGAAGAAACCGTCACAGACCACCTTACCTGACCGTTTTTTGGGGCCCACTGACCGCTAGACGGGTGCCGAAGTGCCGTTTCGCGACCAGGGGCCCAGAAAAGAAAAGCCTGACTTCCAGTTGAACGAATCTTCGGGTAGAAAACGCCTTGTCAACCCTGACTAGTCCGAGCCAACAAGCCATTTACTACCCAAAGCACCAGAGCGATGGCTGTCATTCGATTAGCACAAACACTTCTCTAAACCCGCCCAATTTTCGCGAAGACACTGACAGCCTCGACATCTGGTTGCAACTGGAAATCAGGTGGATACCGCCTAGCTAGTGAATGCCTCGCCGTTACAAATGATTCAAATTCCATTATGCGAAAAATAACGTTTGATTGATCCGTCCGTAAACAGTGCATAACCCTACGCATGCGACAGTCATTCACTAGCCGGACAGCACCGATTGAAAGAGCTCTTATAACCACACGAAGGTGGCCGGAAGACGAAGTTCCTCAAGAGCTCTTTCAAAAAT